GCGCAAGCCCCAGGCTGGATGAGTTCTCCGTTTCCAACCTTCGGCCCTTAAGTTTCGATTCCCTTTATAGACTTTATTTGGGGCTTCCCAAAATTATGGGTACCTTGGAAGAGTCTCTCTACTATGGACTATAGTTCCCCTTGTTTTGGGAAACTGCTATTTCTGTGAAAGCTGCCCTACTCCTTTCAACCTTGGAGGGAAGGGGAGCCCCACCCCTTCCCTTATTCAGGCGCTCGGATTTAGAAGAACCTCCTGCAATTTCCGCCCGACCCATAAGCTATAGTCTAAACTCCTTAAAGGGGGTTGCATAGGGGATTGTATAGGGGAGAATTATACGGGTTATGAAGAGGGATACCAGAAGTTTTTGGACTATAGGTCAAATAACTTGCGGTGCACCCAGTCAACTTCTATTGATGGCAGGTTACGACTTTGCTCATCCCGGGTTTCTTCGTAGGCCCGCAGCCGAGATCCACAGCTTAGTGAGCTGCTTTATACATCTTTGGATCATGTACAGTATACCGGGGTATATACACTCATTCCCGAATCAATTTGGTGGAAAGTACACAGGATACAGACCGGTTTGATGGAGCTGCCTCTTTGAATCTGCGCCAGTGGCATAGCAAAAGTCTGAACACACTGTGCTTCTGAAACCCCATCCAATATGCAAGCAAGCAAGCAAGTTGGCCTTATGCAAGGCTTTCGGCAGTCTCTCCAACTACCAGCCCTTCCGCTGACGGACCAAACATTGGAGGTTGCAAGTCCTAGGTTTAGTCATGATGGTGAGTATGTGTGCGGCTGCTTTACAGTGCCGCTTCTCAGACTCGTAGTGCTGGCAGTGGTGGCGATTGTTTTTGGTTCGTTACGGTAGGGTAGTGATGGCGATTGCGGTGGAACCGGCGTCGGTGGTCAAAGGCATACTATGTAGTAACAACTACCATCTGTGCCGACATATAAGGTTCTTCGGATCATGCCTGCTGTTATGATTTCATTCTGGAATCCTTACCTTTTGTTTGCACTGCTGGCAAGTGACGCAGGCAGCGATTTTGGTAGCAATGTTGGCTTTCAAGACTACATCCGAGAAAGCCGCAGGAGTAGTAAAGAGCAGTGCTTCAGGCACCATTTCAGGAGCCAGGCTGATGCCAGAATAACATTTCGCCCGCCAGGCACTCACAAGCAGGAGCCGTCGCTTACAATGGGGACTCGTCGCCTGAAGCTCAGGTCATGTCAGGTCTTGATAAAATTGGCCAGCATCCGGAAGCTTGTTAAAATTATGGGCTGTGTTTTGGGGCTTCTATACTAACATTGCCGGGACGGTTTTGCACTCAGACTCTGGCTGGTCCGGGCAAGTTTCTGTTTAAGTCGCACATGACTCGAAATCTACCACGCCGCATCAAATGTGGTAATCTCCCCGCTGAAAGGCAGTGCTGGTGCTGGCTGGCAAGGGCAATCTCAGATGGATCGCGTAGAAAAGGGCCAGGCTCTTGAGAAATGCGGCTTTGTTTCAGTCCACCTAGTCTATTGACAGCAGCATCAGCAATTCAACTATACTGGTGCCGTATCGAGCTTGAGCACGTGGACGGCTACCGAGGGCTTGTGCAGTCATACTTAGTCTTATGTACGGGTATCTCTAAATCGTTTCTTGCTAGGTTGGTCATTTTTGGTCACGTGCGGGTCTTATATATTGATTGTTCGTCGAGATTCACGCGCGAGCTTATATGTTCCGCGTGATTTATCTCTCTTTGGTTGTCGGAGCGGTTGGTCGGAGGAGCGCGTAGACCCGGGACGGAGAACCAAAATTCCTCGAATTTACAGATTGGTCGTATCTATCCACGGAGATTTATGTATTCTCCGAATCGCCGCTCCAAAATCTTTTAGAATCTATTAAAGGTTCACGTGCAATCTTATATTGATTGTTCGTCGAGATTCCCGTGCGAGCTTATATCTTCCGCGCGCGGGCAAACTCTAGTAATTCAATATTACGATGCGGCCCCTTGTGGTCGTTTCGCTCGCGCGCGGCCTAGATTTTTCGGCTGATTTTTAAAATATTTCTTATGGGCTCTCTAGTAATTCTAAAATCTCGAAGATTTTGTAGCCTTTCGGATAAGCTAGAGGCTCTAAAACCTTCGAGATTGTTGGTAAAGGCGGGGCGGCTAAAAAATCTCGAAAATTTTGAATCGTGCGGCCCTTATTTACGGAACGTTTTTCTACGTGATTTATAGAATTATCTACGTGACTATTCAATGGCGAGCATAGATCCGGGATGGAGAAACTGCTGCGCAGATAGCTTAAAAAAGATAAATGAGGCGGAAAATCCGCGCTTGATACGGGGGGTCGCGCGATCCGAAATCTCTCGAGATTTCGATCAATTTCTCTCTCTTCGGCTATCTGCGCTGCGAAAATCTAAAATCTTTCAGGATCTATTAGGTTGGTCTTCTAGTCACGTGCGATTTTATATATAGATTATTTGTCGGGATTTTATCTAATCCGCGTGAATCATCTCTCTTTGGTTCTCGGCGAGCTGTTCGGAGGAGCGCATCGAGATAGGACGGAGAATGATCATCTTTCAGAATTTGTAGCTTGATCGTGTCTGCTTACAGAGATTTATATCTTCTCCGGAGCCGCCTAAGAAAGATAAATATGGCGGAAAGACCGTGCTGATATGGGCGCCGCGTGATAAAAAATTTTTAAAAGATTTCGAATTATTTCTCTTTGCAATTGTCTCCGCGGCAACTCGAAGAAATTTGAAAAATCGGGGCAGAGATCTAAAAACTTTTAGAATCTATATATCGTATGCAATCTTAAAATTTTGATAAAATCTTGATAATTATGGGATTTTATATGAGAATTTTAATATATTTTTATCAACACATTATTTATTATAGATTTTCTTAAGTATTTTCTGTTGATAAATACGACGAACTAATTCTAATATATATATATGACGGAAATCTTTTTCAAAACCTTAATTAATGATATATTATTTCTTGAAGAAAGAAATAACGATGTATAAAATATGTATACTATAAGATGATATAGCTAGATTGGTTTCGATTAGTGCGTCGCCGCTTGAAGGCTCTACACTCTGCAATTTTCAGAGCGCGGTTCAAAATTTTCGGAAAAATTAGTAGGCTTGGGGCGGCTTCGCAGCTCATTTTATTTCTCAATAGATTTGGGCCGTAGATTTTCGGAAAATATTGGAAACTCTATTTCTAAAATTTTCGGAAAAATTACGAAATAGATCATTAGCCTCATCCCTCTTGTTTCCCTCGCATAGAAATTTCCTTAAGCACATATACACCCGTACCCGAATCATACAAATCTATTCCGTATTTTTGAGAATTTAAATTCGAATCGGCCAAAGATGATATTACAATGGTGCCTTCAATATCAATCATCATAAAAACTATAGTATCATAAGTATGAAATATAATTTCATATATTTTCGAGAGAGCAAAGATACTACTATAATATCATGAAATACTCTAGCACGAATTTTTCAGTGCTCAGCTTATCGAATTTATTGGGCTGTCAGCAATACGTAGTTCTTATTCCTTATTGATTTCATCTCCAAGTCCAAATTCGTATCCACCATTAATTGATTTCTTTAGAAATAACAAACCTTCGCCCGCGACCTTCCGCGAAGCCTAGTTTCCATTTGGTCGGCACTTCCGAAATATCTTGCTTGTACGAGCCCTTCCGCGATGATTATCTTGGAAGTTGTTTCCGCAATACTTCTACAAACAGCGTTTCTACTCTTACCGTATGTTTCGCGGGGTCGCCCTGAGCTTCCGCAAGAGTTTCCGCGAGCATGATGCTTCTGCGAAACCTTCCGCATGCTTCCGCGCGCACAGCGGGAAATACTTTTCGGAAACCATCCCAAGAGACGCCAGAAGTTATTTCCGTAGTTAAGTATCAGTAGACAAGCGTAAAAAAAACCGTGGCTCAGGTTAAACTATTTAGCTTTCGTGTTACTGCCTAAGCCTTGTGGCATCACCGCAATGGATTGGGCGAAAGCCATGCCACGCAGACCTTTCAACACCAAAACACATCTCGAAGTTTGAGGGTTCGTTGTTCCTCCTGTACACCTTTCGAAATCTGATAGATCCTCCCGCAAGGAGCAACGAAACTACTTTCACACACACAGGACGCACAGACGCACGCTGTCACATTTTCAAAAGTCCCACATGACTTCCCGACCCTAGACCGTAAAATATGTATCTACATATACATATACATATACTATATTATCATGCGGTAGTTTCCATTTTCTTTTTCATTATCCCAATATAATCTCCATGCAAGCACACACGGGGACCTGTTTTAATCTCAGCCATGACGAGCGCCTCCAAATCTGGGCTCGCTGCCGCTTTGCCGTATCAAGGCGACTAGATGTGAGGCTGTGCCGAAGTCCTAGGGGACCCAAGCCTAGTTTGCGGATGCGGATTGCGGACTTGTGACATAGCCAGGTTGACACATTGATGGAACCCGTAGATGTACACGGGGACATCCTTGCGCTCCAGAATATGTCTGACAGAAGCCGACTGAGACGTCTCCGGCCTCTAGCCCGCTGGTTGACATACAGGGTCCCACCTCCGAACTTGATATGGTGGTAGAATACGAGTGGTTGTTTTTGAAATCTGGACGGAATGTCCTCCAGCGAGCCAAGCTTTGAGAAGGCCGGAGTTTCTCTTAGGGGATTTGCCAGGGTACTTTGCAGAAATGGGTGGAGTGGATTTCACGACCATCATGGTCCTTAGAGCTCCATCGGCCCCACTCCGTACTGTAATACAAGCTCTGTTGACATAACTCAAGCTATTTCTGGTGTGCCTCCGAAACCAGACCCTGCATCCTAATGCGCCAGGGATACGCAGTGACCTGCTCCTTTCGGCCAATTACTCTACATTCTACATGGCGCCGATCAGGAAAATCACGGGAAATGCCAGTTCACGACTCGATTGAGAATGAAACCCACGCCTTTGGCGCAGGAGCCTGATGCTCATTTAAAGCGACGAAGTCGGCAAATACCATTCACAGGAGAGCAACCACATGAAGTAGGTCAGCGACAGAGTTATGAGCACCGGGGCAAAGATGTACTGGATGAAAATTGCTGTGGCCATGGACTCCACGCTTTGACCGCCCAGGTTGGCCATGATGCCTACATTGTTCGCAGTTGGTGTGCAAGTCACAATAAATGCAACCAGCCACATGGCGGGATCCTTACCATTCACGAGCCGTATCAGCCCATACACAACTAGGCTCATCAAGAGTGGCATGAGAACCATCTTGCAGAAGGTGATGGCCATGCCGACCTTTAGTGGCAGTGCTTCAAAGTCGGCACCTTGAGATAGGGAGCTTCCTAAGAGCAACAAGTTTAGCGGCACTGCAGCGTCCCCTAGCTTGTAGATCCCATCGTATAGCCATTCCAGTGGGGCGTCGTTGGCTTGGCCAGCGAGGTCGACTAGAATCCCGCGGAAGGGAGATAAAGCTACCAAGAGCCCCGCCAGGGCAGCAAGCACAGGCGGTACCAGGGCGTGCTCCAGCGCGGTTCTCAGGGCTCCAACAGATACAGGAACTTCCTCAGCACCGCACCATCGCTCGCGTGCACTCATCTTTGCAGGGGGCGGGATAGTCAGCGTAATCTCCTCATCTCCAGTTGGGGCAAGCAACCAGGTACCAATGCCCCACTGCAGCACAGGGTACAGCATGAGATAGGCAGGAAGATGAAGCAGGGGATCTGTGTGGCCTATCGGACCATTCCCGAAAGCCGTCATGGACTGATTTACCACGGTCAGTAACACGACTGGCATGCCGGTGGAGTTCCCGAAGGCAACTGCACAAATCGTCCCCCGCCGAAAGTTGGAAGGGACCTGGGTTGCAGCCACAACTGCTCGGCCAAGAGATGTCCCAAGGCCTACAACCACCAACGGCAGCAGAAATAGGACCCAGCTGGACTGTAGAATCTCTGAGAATGGAGCACAACGTGGGCAGTCCTCCTGAGCAGCGCACTGGTTGCCTGGGTTGCTGTTCATGAACTTAGTTAAAGTAACTCTAATCATGAAACCCTGCGGTTTACGACATGTACCCATAAGATGGTAACATATGGCACCCATTTCTAACCCCTAAGCCGTAAATCCTAAGCCCTAAACAATAAAGAAGCCACAATATACTATAATAGTTTCCATTTTCTTTTCCATTATGCCAACATAAGCCTAGTATTAGCCCACTGGGGTTCCTTCAGGGTGACAGGTTTCCCTAAACCCTGAACCCTAAACCCTAAGTTCTAAACGGCAACCCAGTTGCAGTAAAGGATACGCGAGAAGACTAGGGCTGGCATGGCCACCTTCATGGAGAGCTTAGACATGCAGCTGCGCTCGTTATGCGTTAGGACTCTCCTGGATTGCGGTTTAGGGTTTAGGGTTTAAGATTTAGGGTTTCGGGTTCAAAGGATTTAGGGTTTAGGATGTAGGGTGAAGGATGTGCAGTTGGGGAAGTTAACTTTAGTTACCATAAGTGGAGGCCCATACCCAAAAATGTGGCTTATGATGGGTACTGGGGGAACCCTATTACTTGTCGTATATACCCAGAATGGCAACTTAAAATGAGCTTCTTCACGGCAACCCAGTCTCAAATGCGTGGCCAGGACCCCTGCCAGGATGACCGTCACCGCTACCCCAATCGCCCGAAGAGAGGCCAGCAAAATGGGAAACATGAAAGCCATGGCTAGCCAAAGGAGAGGGCCTCCACTGAAACAGACGAGGCTTGCAGTACAAAGGGGTTTGCGGTTTGGGGGGCGGAGAATCTTCCAAAACCTTAGCCTAGATGAATTCAGCCCATCTGTTTGGGACGTCTTCTATGGATCTTAAGGAGCTTTCCGCAACAACTAGCGCCTCGACGAAATGCAGTAAGGCGGCAATTTTGACCGCAGCTCATATAGGGCTTAGGTTAGGGCTCAGGGTTCTTCATACGCCCTGGGGATCGGAGGGAGTGCGAGGCAACTTTGAGGCGCAGAAACCTGGGCTGATGATGTGAAAAAGCACAGCTTGCAAGGATTAGGGACCCACACGGTTTGGGTTTTAGGGCCCAAGTCTCTGGGTACTAATGTCCAGCATCCAGGGCGTTTCTAGCTCCTCAGGCAACATCAAACTGCTTGTTCGATCTAAGTACAGTAGCCGCAAACTGTATGCCGTACAATGAATCGACTCAGCACTCTGGATGATGCTGTGCCTCTAGGCGTGACCCCAGCTTTGGGAGATCAAACTTCGGTGCACGCATTCATGGAGAAACGTGGCTTCTTAGCTTTCAAGGGCTCATGGACTCAGGTGTAGACGCCTGCCTGCCCTAATTAGCCTGTGCTACTCTTGCTCTTGTTGCCTCTAGTTCGTAGTTATGCTCGGAACACTGTCAACTCTACATCGAGGCGCTCCTAGCCAAGCCAAGTCCTTGATGAGGGTCCGTAGTAATGATGGCTAGGACCATACTGGCCCTACAAACCTTACATAACTGCGGCTTGCATGCTTGCACTTTGGAGGCTTGCTGCTATCAACATCCAAGCCAAAAACCCGCCGTCGAAGAAAACAGGAAGAATGTAACTGAAAAGGGAACCTACCTTCTGGCATCTTTTGGAGGATGCATTTTTGAACAACTGCCGATCTTGAACAATATGAACCTTGTCTAACCTTAGCTTCCATTTCATTGCCGACTTTCTTTTCCATATTTGATCATCCATTATCCCAAAACCGATGAATAAATCCTACTGAAATATCGCCTCTCAGGGCTAAGTGTCGCAAGCGTCTGGATGAGCTTGGGCACAGGAAAAATACCGAATGCATGAAGAAAACATCTGTATACATCCCCCACTCTAAACTTACTGGTGCTTTGTAGGGAAAGTGGCAATATACTATATAGGGATTATTTAGGGATTATCTTCCCTTACTCCCACTAAAAACCAGTAAGTACACCCTGTACATCCAACCAAACGCAAAGTCAGCAAGATCTTCTGCCACATCCGACACCCGAAACATCCTGAAGCCAGGAACCCGATCCACCCCTCAACTCAAAGGCAGCATATAGACAAAACCACCGCCCCTGCCTGCCCAATATGTTTGGATCCTGTCAGACTCCTTGTAGTGTACGGATCTCTCTTGATGGCAAATTAAATAATTTGGAATTCTCTGCCGCAAGCTAAACATGAGGAGCAGCGTCAGTCTAAACACTGTGGCCAAACAGCGCTCCCTGTCGTTAGCTTGCCCCTCAAAAGAGCCACCATGCCAAGTTCCACACGAGCACGTCCCAAAAACATCCATTTCCCGAACGCCCGAACCCTAAACCCTAAGAAAGACCGAAAGACTTTTCCATGTTTGCCAGTTGTCGGTTTTGCACCCGGGATGCTTGCTGCGTTTGCAACCCAAGCGGTCTGGGTCAGGATGTGGACTTGCAGGGTCTCGGCGAAGCGCTTGAGATGTTAGTAGCAGACTTTTTGACTGCAAAATTGATAATTGACTGTCCAGTCTATCTGCCTACTACTTCGTACAAATATTTTACCTGTGAAAGCATCACTTCAGCATCCTATGGCTTGAGGCTTTCCCGGGTTGCTAGGGGATGACACCCCAAACGCCCCCCCCCAAAGCCTACATCTCACTGGCTGACTTTTACACTAGTATTACTATGACTATGAGATTATTCCCCTTACCACAAGTACTATATTACCAAATACCATTCCTGGTATTACTAGCAGCTTCACGGATTGGATCTTCGGTTGGTCTTCAAGATTGAAGCGATGGTCACAGCCCGTCCTCCGTTTTCTCCTTCTCCGTGGAAAGAGAAACCAACTGTCAAGGAAAGGTAGCCGCTCCCCAAAATGGGGTCCTGTTCAGGTGCTTGTTTAATGAAATTCCGAACTCAGGATATGCAATAGGGCCTCCCGCACGCTAGGAAAGCGATTTTGATGGCTAGGGTTCGCATGCCTTCTTGCACTGCTACTGGGCAATGCGGGTTGCAAGCAAAGGAAGGGGCCGACACCGTTCTCCTGCAAAGGTTTGAGCGATCACACAGGCAAAATGCTCCCCATTTTAGCCGTAATTACCACTGCAGCCTGCAACCCCAATATCATGTGCCATCATTTGTGGAAACTCTCAGATTTTACCGAGCGCACTAGACTCGACAGTACTGTGCGCAGCATTCGAAAAAGGCTCACCCAGACATTTGTTGCCGAGAGAAGTCTCAGGTGCAAAAGTTCCTCCATCGACATTACCAGCAACTAAAGATGCCTCTTGCTCTCATCTAGCATGGACAAGGACTAGAAAACAGAATGGAGTCTAGCATAATGAGGAATCAAATGGAAAAGAACATCGAGAATGAAATGGACACTGGGATTGTATAAGCATGGATCATCATGGATCGCGGGATGACGTTGGGTCTCAGACCACTGTCTCAGAGTTCTTGGCCACGACCACCCCTTGGATCCATCCATGGAAGAGACTGTTGAAGAATGCAGGCAAAAGCCAGGGGAGTCGCTTGGGGTATACTTTTGTGGGAGCTATAATCCCTCTCTAACCCGTATGTAGAAAGGTTTCCGTCTCCTTTGCATCTGGTTTTCCATTTGATTATCCATTATTTGAAAACCTGAAATCCCACATATCCCAAAACCCCTACACCCCCTGATCGCTTACACTCAATGCGTTCAGTACAGAGTATAGGGTTAAGGGTAGCTCACTTCATCTCGGAAAGTCGGCAAGATATTCACCTATCTTCTGGCTCCTCCCAAAAAGCTCAATACACCTCGATTCAGGAATATGCGTGTACAGCAAAGTCTACTATAACTACGATTGAAAATGCATTCCTTGCCTAAAGGGTGGCGGGCTGGCCCGAGTAAAGATCTTAGGGTCTAGGGTGATCTAACAACTGGCCGCTGCATTGTTTCTCCATCCTGGAGTCTACTTCCGAAAGAGTCCGGCAGGAGCTTGGGCCCTTTACAAGACAGCGAAGGAAAAGGTTGGCAAATTTTCCTTCATCGACATCACCGGTCACTGAGGATGCATCCTGCTCTCGTGATGCATGGACCTGACAGTTGTTCAGAAGATGGCTGGATGAAGATGAGACTGGGACCACTATTTGGAATATTTTTGGCCACAATAGGTCAGGGAAGAGATGGTGGCAGAATGCACGCAAAAGCAATGAATTCCGCGCCTGGGTTTTCTTGCTTTCGCGCGCACCAGCACGCCAGAATTCTACTGTAGTTGGCAAAGCCGAGACCAATCAATTGCCAATTGAATGCAGGAGGTCGAAGATGCAAAAAGCTATAAGAAAGCATACCCCCAAGCAGTGATGGACCAGCCTGAGCGCAATCACACAGTCGTATGTTCATATTGGTAGATAAGCGCTGTGCCACCACTACAGTCGCGGGTGTACACACAATGTGGTGCCAGCGGCATTCGGCCAAGCAACACAAGCGGCCGCAACTTGCACTGCAATGAAGCAGGAGTACCAAATGAAGATAAATGAAGGAACAATGTTGAACTTCATCACGTGTTCTGCTTTGACTCCATGTCAACTTATCACATCATCATGCTGTGCAGCTCCGGCACTCTACACGGCGATTGAGCAGTGGAGCTGAGAGTACCGCGTGCTAGGTTACCCTCAGAAGCTCAAGAAAACTTGGTGTGAGCCTTCAGCCAGCATCTACGGTTTGAACGATGGGCCCCACATCCTGGACTCCTTACATAAACATTATATACTAAGTTTCTCTACACCAAGTAAAGCCACGTGGTTAGGACCCAGGAAACAGGTACTAGAGGGGCCCATGGAGGGGACGTTCGACAGCAGTGCGAGCAGTGGTTTAGGCATGTTTGGGTGCCTTGAACCTTGAGATCCGTCCAGCCAACATCTTGCGCCCGAAGGCTGTGATCATCTCTCACCGGAAACTGCCATGTCACCACTCAAGCTCATAAGCTCATTAACCTATAAGCCCTTAACCCCTGAAACTGTAAACCTATTCAACCCTAGATCCCCTAAGCCCCTAGAAGACCCTGCAGTGTTGACGGAGCCGGAGCCCAAAAAGTTGGTCCACCAAGAAGTCGACCGACGGTGCAACAACCTGGCTGCCAAACCCGATGTAAGGGTTAAGGAGTTAAGTGGTTAAGGGTTAGAGGTCCAGAGAGGGAGGGATTTAGAGATTTAGAGGATCTCAGGGATTTAGGGTTTGACGTAAGGTTTAGGGCTGAAGCTTTAGGGATGATAAGGTCCAAGCCTAGTTTAGGGCAAGGGCAAAGATTTAGGAATGATAAGAAAATTGGGCCTGAGGCCAGGGGCTCGGTTCAAGTTAAGTGCTTCAAGGCA